TGTACCTACTCAGTTTCATGAGCACCAAGACACTTGGACTGCTCTGCTACCTTGGGCTGAATATGCCAGGAACACTGAACCGCAAAAACCTACAGGTCATTCTTCTTTCTTCATTGTCTATGAGATGCAACCAAGTGTGTTTCCAGGTGTGTTCTCCAATCAAGCTATACCTTCCTTAGATGCTCATTTTAAAGATTTGCTAATTGGGAAAAGATTAAGGCAATGTTGCAGAAGGCTGCTGAGTCTCAGAATTCGTTTATGGATAGATATCGTAGACCTGCCCCTTCTTATCTGGTTGGTGACAAGGTTTTGTTATCTACCTACGGGTCCCTTCGATGAAATTCGCTCCCAAGTTTATTGGTCCCTACAAGATCCTTACATGCATTAATCATGTGGCTTATTTATTGGACCTCCCTCCTTCTTTGCGTATACCCAATACCTTTCCTACGTCTCTTCTTAAACCTCTGATCTGTAACCAGTTTACTACACGTGTCCCGATCCCTCGCCCAGTTGCTGTTGATGGTCACCTCGAATATGTGGTGCATTCCATTCTTGATTCCAGGTTTTCTCGTGGTTCCTTGCAATATCTTGTCCATTGGAATGGTTATGGGCCTGAGGATCACTCTTGGATCCCTGCGGTTGATGTTCACTCTCCCCGTCTTGTCCAGAGGTTCCATGCTGTTTTCCTCACAAGCCTTCTGCTCTCCACTCTCTGGGTGGTGCTGTCATAATTACCCATTCTGGAGTCCCTGATACGGTGGCGGGTATTTGTATGGATTCACGCCAACGTCATAATGGCGTGACTCAAAGTACCAAACTGATTGGTTCGCACAAACTGAAACGCCCGAATTCAGCTTTCAGGTCTACAGTGATGCAGACCAATGGGATAGGTTCCCTGGCTTTATAAGCCAGGGCCTTTCAGTAGCAAGTTGCACTGTTGTGGTTCATGTTGACCCAAAAGTGCGTTACATATTGTATTTGAATTTCTTGTTACCAACTTTGGCTTGTCATTTATGCTGTACTCTCCTATGTTTGACCTTGGCTTTCTTCCTGACTTTCTTTATGTTAAATCCGGCCATTCTAAGGCCTGGTAATACGTTATACCTCTCCTTTAGCAGATTAGGGTCTGTGTATTTTGGGTTCTCCCATTTACTTTTCACTCTGTAGTGAGGATGTACAATGGAGTACCAAAGTAGTGTCCCCAATGTTTGCTATTGACGGTAGTGGTGTATTCTCTAATGAGAATAATGTTTCCTGTAACACTGAAGACATAACACTTTTATCTCTGGCCCAGGAGCTACATAAATATGAGTGTGATAAGTCATAGAAAATAGAAGAGGAGGATGTGGAGAGGACATCCAGCAGCCCACAATTTTCTCTGGCAACTAATGGGAACTTACCTCTTGCATCTTGTCCACTATCTCCAAGTCCATCTGTATCTTCTGTCAAATCATCTCATCCAACAGTGAAAGTGGAAACATCAGCTCAACCACTATCAATGTTACCATTACCATCTCCAACACAGCTACCACCAGCACAACCAGCACCACCACCATGCGTGTGAAAGATTACTTTGTTGGAAATACATTTTTGTAAGTCTGTTACAATTTTTGTGAAACCAGACTTACAGGTCCAGATTAAAAGCCCAGATTAATTTGCATAAATGTAAAACTCGCCACTGTAACATTTTATTAATAAAATTGAAAACATTTTTAAATCTATGTTTTAAGCTAATGTTTGGTTGGTAATATAAAGTGCAAGGTTTGTTGGTCACCATGGCACATGTGGTCAAGATTAGTCATCAACATTCTTGACTCAACAGCTGAAAGAGTTAACTTAATAAATTGAAGAACAATAACAGGTGCCAATGTTTCATTCCAAGTGTTTCAAGATATTATTTAGAATTTTTTTTTTTTTATTTTGGACATAAGACCTTCCATCAAGAAATTATCCAAAGCAAAATATACACACCAGATGGGTAAATCTATCATAAGCTGGCAATAAACTACCAACCACTTTTAATTAGCTGAGTGAATGTAGTTTGCTGAATACAAAAAGTACTAACAGGCTTATAATAAAATGTCCATAGTTTTCTGTGAAAAATCCCATCTGAACAGCCCTGACCACAGTCAATCATTCTAAAAGCCACTGATGGTTAATTTGATTTACCAATATAAAATGCAAATGAGATGGTTAAGTGGAGTGGCAGACAGTACAGAGCCTTTTTCAAACCATCAAGTTAAATGCAAGCAGACAGAAAACTGGCTTTGCAAAGAAAATTTTAGCATTTTCGTTTGATTAGTGCTACAAAAATTTAATTAGCTTGACTAATTACATGACAAATTGCTGTACACTAGAGAAAAGGCAGAACATTTTTATCTTTGCAATGCCCTGTGTGTGTTTTAGCCCAAATGCTATCATCCAATTAGCAATTGCATTATTAAATGAAAATAAGATGGTACAATAGCCCTTAGCAATTGGAAGTCGCATAAAATAGCATAATAAAGCATAATATATTTAATTAGGAAAGACATAGACATATACTCATATGCCATGTGTTTAATGTTTTACATTTACAAAATGTGTAGGTGACATAGTGTGCTTTAAAAAGGAATATACAAGCCACTCTATTTATAGTTTTAATTATATATATATATATAGTTTTATAAATATATATATATTTATATTAATATGACAGAAACCATATTTCACAAGTTCAAACCTAAATAATGATAATAATCATAATCATCATCATAATAATAACAAAGTATTTAACTGATATCCTTAAAGTAATGTAAATATCACTCATGTAAAGCTTACACGATTATATGCATTGTGTAGAAATTGTGTATTTGGATGTTATAAAAAAAAAAGTGGTTATACCAATTATCATTAATATTGAAGAGTTTGTAAAGCACAGCCCTCACCCTTGCTAAACAGTCATACTTTTCCTCTCTCATTAGTTAATGTTTCCACAATCCCAGGCATTGCTTTGATACCTTCAATTCTCTTCTTGCCCTGCTGTAGCCACCCCCAAACTAAACTTCCAACTGACGGCTTTGCAAGCTATATTACCAACGATATTAACCAATTAAGGAAAGAATTCTCCCCCCTTCGCTCCTCTCTCAACTATACTTAGACTATGCCTTTTCTGCCCTTCAGACCTTCTCCCAACCTACTGAACAGGAGGTGGCTGCGCTTCTCTTTTCCTTTTTGCCACACCACTTGTCCTAGATCTCTCTCCTCCGCTCTTGTGCCATCCTTATAGCATATCTTCAACTGCTCTCTTTCTTCTGGCAGTGTCACTCCCCTTAAACATGTTATTATCGTACCCTTCCTTAAAAAGTCATCACTTCCCTTTCCAACTAATATCCCATATCCCTGCTCCCTTTCTCCTCAAAGCTTCTGGAATGACAACTCTCTCCTCAACCTTCTTCAATCTCACTTCTGCCCCTTCACTCTACAGAGATCACTCGAATTAAGTAACTAACAGTCTACCTGCAGCTTAATCCAAAGGCCACTATTCAATACTAATTCTTCTTGACCTCTCCTGCCTTTGACTCCTTTGATCATATCTTTCTTCTTCAAGCTCTTTAATCCCTTGGTCTCTGTAACACTGTCCTCTTGTATTTCTAGTCCTATCTCTTACAACATTCATTGAGTGTCTCCTTTTCTAATGACATCGCCTCTTCTCATCCTCCACTTGGTTGGAGTCCCACAAGGTCCTCTTTTATTTTCTCTTTATACTGTCTCCCATGAGCAAACATACTAATTCCTTTGTTTTCGGCTACCATCTTTATACTGATGACACCCAGCTACATATCTCGTCCCCTGATCTCTCCCCCGCTCTCCTAGAAAGCGATTATTGTGGGATGTGCTTACTGTTTAGTACGCAAACCAAATAATAACTATGTATACATGCATCAGTTTCTAGACTTGTGTTTCCTGTGCATGTCTTTTTTAGAAATAAGATACATATATTACACCATTATTTTTAACAAGGTTATTCACAGAGAATTGGTAAACTGGCACCAGAATTACTACATCTAGACCAGTGGAACCTAACATTCTAGTTCTTCTGTTTTGTCCTAAATTTGGAAATCTGGCTGCTGATTCACCACAACTTATGTTTAATGGGTACATACACTAACCTTTGTTTTTTATGAGTATTTTATTCATAATTCATGTAAAGTACATCTTACATATTGCTTATAACAGTTCAAGGTTTGTCAGCACTGTACCTTTGTACAATAATTTATGGATTTATAACAAAATTATAAAACTAATTATATTTTTACTTTGTTTACTGACAATAATGTGTATTTGACCTATCAGTAACCAAATAACTATCAGTAACCAAGTGTGGGATTGGTGAAAAATATACATCCACGTATCCTTTTACTAGTGCAACTAAACCATATGAATCTATATGCATTGAATGCCCTTATTTCTACAAAATTTTGACAGTGGTGAACACGTATCCCTTCATCCATCTCAGGTACCTTGTTCCTTAACATATTCCTGTGGGGTGCTTCCTAACACACTGATCCTAAAGATGACTAAAAAGGGCCAAAATATCCTCATTTTCCCTCACTCCATGTCATATCTATATCAGCATATACTAATGGGTTAGCTCCTCCCCAACATGTGAATAAGAAATAGTCCAAATCCTTAAAAAAGCTACAAGCCATGTGATCTACAGTTTAAATCTCCAAGTTCTGAAACCTCCACCTTGCATTGAAAAACAATGAAAGAGAAACCATAAGCTGCCACAAATAACTGACAGGAAAAGAAAATTGAAATACTTATAAATACCTTTTTATTATTCCTAGCTATACATGACAGCATATACTAATCGTAATAATAATCACACCACAACATTATAAGAATGAACACAGAGACATAGATACAGCAAAATGGAATGTTATAGAGGTAGAAACACAAACTGAAGATATTTATTCTTGAACTGGATTTTAGACCCAAAAGGTTAATGGTGTACCAACAAAAGGAAAGGAGCTCGGTCATTATATCGTATAGCCCGGGAAACTGTGACTGCTTTTGTAGAATGTGCCATTCACCCTGGGATCAAAATGTGATTATTTTTTTTTACTGTTGTGATTGCTATAACTTTTCATTGCTTTAACATAGGTACTGAGGCAGTTTCATCCTGATGATACCCATGAGAGATGACAAAAACCCAGGAAGATTGGCTGAAGATATTGGGTCTTTCTGCTTAGATTAAAAGTTCTCCGATCACATCCATTAAATGCCACATGCACCTCTTGGTTATAATATAATTTGACACTGCCATAAGCAGAAATTTTGTTACTGGCAAAAAAAAAAACTAATACCATTTCCTCATAGAAGTTAGTCAATTGTGGAAAATATAAAAAGCTTGTTTTTTCACATTATCTAAGCAAGGGTATGTGCCACCAAAAGAAGATCTTTCTGAGAAAGAGTAGAAAAAAATGAATATATCCCCCAACAATTCAACATCCTTGCTGCACGTTTTAAAGTCTAGTATATATATACTATACTATATATTTATATATATTTGTCAATCTTTCTTTCATTAAGGAAATGAATGAGACAATACAGAAAAAAGAAAAAGGGGTTATAGCAAGTGAACAGATAACACGAATACAGTAGATGTGGGATATAAACTCCAGATAATATCAGCCTCTTTTTTGTTAATAAAAGTAAGAGAGAATAAACTAGCCAACCTAAAATGACCCTATGCTTTTATGCAAGCTAGATAATCTGAGTATGTGGGTAAGTAGTCAGGCCAGGCACTCATGTCTACATTCTATATACAGGTTATGCTAATATGCATGAGCTATCCTAGACATGAAAACTATTAACGGAATGTAATAAGACTACATGCTTAGTGGGTAGAACATTGGAAAGTTAGTCAGGTTGTCATGCAGAAATGCAATACAGTAATTAAACTGATAGATAGATATAAAATCTTGGCATGTAAAATGACAGAAGAAGTAGTTGTAGTACCACTGATCATGCAATATAATGTGTAGTATAGATAATATACTAATGAAGTGTAATGCATTGCTTTAAAAACCGAGATGGTGCTCTCAACACAAGGGAATGTTGCCACTGGTAGGCCCAATAGAGAGTCCATTTCCAAGCTAGATATGCACTTTCCCCTTCTCTTAAAGTGACCGCAAGCAAGCCTTGTCAGAAAGTCCAGTCTCATACCAGGGTCAGAGTAAAGCAGGCTCAGTCGTGGATTAAGTTGCCAGAAGTATGATGGTCTGCCAAGATGCAGCCTCACACATTTTCAGCCCGAGGCCTCAATTGACCCCAGTGGGAACCTGGATATCCCTAACTGGTCCAAAGGTGGGGGTGAGGAGGGGGCAGCAGGACCCTTAAATGGTTATGGAAGGATATGCTCTAAGAGACGAGCGATCACCCACTTCGATCCACCGCAGAGCGCTAGCCTCGTTACTCCATTCAGATGAAATTAATGGCGTGTTTCTTCATAAGACCATCAATTACTTCGTAAACCTTGTAAAAGTCAAAAGAAAGATCTAGTTTATACAAATCCATGAAATGTATATCTTATACCTGGGTCTTTGTTATTTTTTCCTGTATATCTACAGTCTTCACATATGGATAACTATATTTATGGTCTTTCCTCCAGGAATTCAGGAACTATTTCTATTTCATCTTCACTAGAATCAATCTGGTTCAGGATTTTAAAGTCTCAAGAGTCCTACCTAAAGCAGAGGATTCCTCTGTCAGGTTGCACCTTTGCTCTTGACTTTCCTTGAACCTACTGCATCTGCCATCTGAGATACCTTGAGTGAGATTTCCTTTCTGATCCAGGTCAAGATCTTAGATAGGTGGTTGAAGATAAGTCAGACAGAGTCTTCAGACCCTCGGAACATTGTCTATAAAATATTTCTAGGACATGAAAAGACAGAGCCCTTTTCAAACATTTGCCTTTATCCTATACTATCAGTTGTTTCTGGGGATTTTTTAAAATTTCTTTTTCATAATTTAACAGTAAATGGACAACTGAATTGCAAAACTTAGGTCAAAATAATGATTTAAAAACATAGCTAATTTTGTAAATTTTATCAATTTCCCTTGCATTTTCAATACAAGTTTCAGCAACAACTTTGGGTATTAACATACTACCTTATGACAAATTTCACCAACACTCTAATTTAAAAAAACTAACTGCAGTCATTTGATTTGCTAGAACCAGCAGCTAGTTTTTAGGTATGCTGCAAATATTTTTTTTTATCATTTAAGGTCAACAATTAAATAGCAGTGGGATGAATACATATAGAAGATTTTTTTTAATGTACTAAACAAATTTAGAGTTTTGTTTGCTTTCAGAAATATAATGCTTAATGGAAACATCTAATTGTACATTTGCTGACTTATTAATGTTTTACAGCTTTTAAGGTGTATTTTAGTTCAACCTTTCAAGTCATTATCATATGTGAAAGCATGAAAAGTAAATGTTCCAAAGGAGAAAAATGTTTACACTGAGCATTTATCTATGCCATGTATACAATTTAGTAAATTGATTGATATTGTTGTTCTATATTTTATAGCTTTTCAACTCCTTTTAATACACATTCACTAAAGGTTATTTGTGGAAGGTCAAAATCATCAATGTAAATTCAGATGATCAAATGAAAGTAGATTTCACAAAATTCATGTCAAGTCAAACATAGCAAACCAAACTTCAAACCGATGCAAATTTGCCCTGTTGTGAAGAATAACTGAATTTATCCAAAATGCAGACAACTTCATAGACCCCTGCTCTCACAAAACATGTGTTTACTGCAGTGACTAATACTTTAGAGAGGATTTTGAGATTTCCTAGGTCAGGTTTAACACCTTAAGGACACATGACATGTGTGACATGTCATAATTGCCTTTTATTCCGGAAGTTTGGTCCTTAAGGGGTTAAACAAATTTCTTGAAAAGTATGGATGCTGTTTATTTTTTTTAACGGTATAATCATTGCTCAAGTGTAGCTCTCATTTCTCTGACATCTTGTCTTCTTACTAAAAAGAAATGTTCAAGAGTGTGATGCTTGAGTCTTGTCCATGAGAGTGGGATAAACTCAAATTGCTAGGCAAGTCGCGTTTCACATGTAGCTCTGAAAAAAACAGATATGGGTTTTACTTTGTTTTAGGTTTTACCACTCACATAGGGTTGTGATGTCATAGACACGACATAGACACAAAGTGAGTAATTTAAACTCTGCATGTTAGAGATCAATAATGAAAGAAGTAGAGATTGGTATAAGGGAAGAAGCAGTAAAGACATACGCTGCACATGTTTTGTTTTTTAAGTCACTAAATGTACTAATATATGTTATACATAATTACATTTATTTTGGGGATATTAAACAAGGAGACAATAATCTGAAAACAAGATCTGTGCCAAAAAACATACATGACGTGAATGTTGATGGTAGAAAAATGGACACAGTCTACATAACACACAAGCACATTATAATCATAAATCTTATGTATATATGTAACAGTTGCAATATATATGTTCAGTAAGATACTTCTGCTTGGGTGCATGATTACTGAAGCATACTTTATAACACTATAATTGTGCTAGCTTGCAAATATTAACATGGATCATTGATGAATAACACTTGTTTGGGAACGTCATTTGCCATCAGTGTATACAGGTTATGCCATTAATTTAACACACATTGAACATATATATTCTCCTACTGTTGGTAACAGCCTTATTTTACATATAAAACATATAAAGATAAGATGGTTACAGGAAAAGTCAAGAAGACCAACAGTAGAGAAGTAGAAGACAATAACTCGTTTCCATGTTTGGAGGGACTCCTGCAGGTTCTAAGCACATACACAGTTCTGAGTCTTGTAGAGAAAGTTGATACAGATGTACCAGATCATGATTATAATTTCATGATATTGTTTGATTTTCAGCAGTATAACCCAGTGCTCTATAATCATTAGATGGTGAGGAAGCAGACATGCAAACTCTTTGACCCACAGGTTAAGAAATAAACCGTTTCTCATCTTCAGTCCCGATGTTTTATTTATTAGTGATTTATCTTGTTGACAGTACAACAAAATGTTAGAAAATAGAAATGGTGACAAGTGGGCAAATCACATTGAACTCATACAATATTGATACAGGTATAAAAGGCAGCTAGCACTCTTTCAAATGCAAGGGATTTTCAAAATACCATTATACCATGCAATGCTGCAGATGAATTGACAATTTTTGATTAAAAAGTTGGTCTGTAGCTAAAGAGACAGTGTACCACTGTGGGGGACAATGGAACTCCTGGCCCTCTATGCTTTGAACATGAGTCCATCCTGGAGCCTTTTAAAGAGCTACGCACTCTCTGCACGTTCACATTAGGAAAATCACCAACTGATATGTTGGTATACGATATAACACAAGATGGACTCACCGATGAATGATTGACAATTGATGTGTAAACTAATTTTTTGACACTGCAACACACAATCCTGTTTTCTCTAATCCAGAAATTTTGGGTGGCCATCTGAAATTGGTTTTGTAAACAATAGTTTGATGCAGTCAATTTTCCTCTAATGAAGAAATATTTTTTTAGTATTGCATGTTTAAACACATGTTCCTGTTCAGTGATTCTGGAAGGAAGCTACATTAGAAGCAGTCAGGGTATACATGGGAACATATGTGGTTTTCTATAATTTTTTTTGTCATTCTCTTTTTTATTGCGGTGCAAGGTACAAGATAGATGCATCTACATTATATGGTATGGTTAACAAACTTTCACGGACATGAGCAGGATATACATATATATGTGCATGCAAGGCACCATTTTGGTTTTTCTTTGTCATGTTACAGACTAACAATGCAATAACATGCTGAATAAACAACTGGTCGGAGCTTAAGATGAGGCTAGCACGACTTTAATCGACAGTCATATAGTAAATGCATTAGGTAGAGAAGAGCGTTGTTCAGAGTTATTATGTTGAACAGGTTTTATGTAGTGTTCATCAGGATAGGAATGCCGGGTGAGGAGTTCCATTTGTGTGGTCTTTAGCTGTTGTACCATTTCCCTTTGACCCTATACCTCTTTCTTTATGTCTGAAATATTTTGTGAGTGTTCCAGTCTTCGTCCTCCGGTATCAGTGCCGAGAATTTATGATGCAGCTTGATGTGGCGGTATCCTGCGGCAGGCCTTGTGGTTACTATTCACTAGTTTTTTTTTATCACCTGGTACCTTATTATTATTATTTTTTATATTTATATAGTGCCAACATATTTGGCAGAACTTTAGAATATTATAAAAGGTGTAAATTTTACAATGAGTGAGACAAATACAAAACGTTACAGGAACAATAGGCTGATGAGGACCCAGCTGAAACGAGCTACATAAATTCATAATACTGTCACTTAGGTGTGGTTGTAGTGTTTCAATTCACTGTGATGCAGTAAAAATCATTTGTTATCTACATTTTAATATTCATTCATAAAGAACAAAAAACTAACAAACAGCAAATGTTAACATGATCCAATGTAATGAGCACATGTGGACATTAGAGGAGTCTAAGATCACTGATTTAAAGTTAGTTTTAAGTTAAAAGATCAAAGTCACTTCAGTCTAAGGAGGAACTTTTGGGGCATTTATGCTGCCCAATCAGGGGTTTCAAACTAAATTAAATCAAAGTACGCTGAAGCTAGTTGTTAGGTTTGTTTCCAATACTTTAATGGTCACAGCAATTGCTACACATGCTTCTCTTTGATTAGCATTTATTTGGATAAATGTAATGACTTCACAGTAGAGAGATTGGTAGGTTTAAATGCATTTTTAAACTTTTGTTTTTCTTTTCTTTTTAGAGGGGAACCTACTCATCTAATCTATTGAATAAATACAGGGAAATTAAACATACATGCTTTTTAAATTAGATTGTTCCTTTAATGTATGTAAACTACATGGAAGTTGAGTAATTGATACAAGAGGTAAGACTCCTTCAGATAGCTGTGTGGTCCAGCCACAGACTGAAGAGCTATAGAAAGTGGCAGGTGCTAAGTGATAGTTTATGGGCCAGCCACCCAGCACCCATCCATCCCTATGGGCATTATTATTTTTTGAACGACAGCTAATTTAATGTATATTTCCCATCTGCTTGCAGCACATCACAGTAAGTAGTTCTTTGAGCAAAGCAAAAGGTACACACATTGATGGGCAATACTACTAAGTGCAGCAACATTTGTAAAATTGCTACATATTGAACTCTTGTACTCCTTTGAGATGCATTGCAAAACGAGGTCCTAATAAAGATTAGTTTTTTGTTTTTAGCCCTTTGAGGACAGCAAAGCAGCTGCTTTGGGTCACACTAATGATATAGACAACCTGTCCATGAATACTTTAGAGAATGAGAGATGAATTAAAAGTAGTTTAAGTTAACACGTTTCATCTGCATGACAATGCAAGAGGTGAAAGCCAATGTGGTCCAACAAACTTATGTAAATGGAATCTTGCAGTGTTGCAAATAAGGATTCATTCGATGAACTATCATTATAATGACAAAGGACATCAGGTCAGAGAAAAAAAAAGAACATTTTCTTAAGTCTTACCACTGATAAAAAGTGATCATCTGTTCATTTGTAAATGATGATCAACAGTCTGTGTTTACGGCTGAAGAGATACTTGGTTTCTTTCACTTGTTAGTATATTCCCTGCAGTATTAGTTACACGGTTGTATAAAACATTCAGAGTTTTTCATGATAACAGATAGATACCATTTCAAGCCATGAATATATTTTAGCTGCCTGAGTGAATATGTATGTTGTCTGACGTGACCATTTGCCCACCTTGGTACCACAAAGAATACTCTTGTGTAGGTGAACAAAAGTATACAATATATTCTCTGTGAAACTCGTTTGACTTGCAGTTTGGTACAATCAAA